GACGGTCAAGCTTTGGTAGCAAAAGGAGCTGGTCGGGAACGAGGACGGTCTAAAGAGAGGGGCGGCGCGTCCCAACGCTTCAAATCGAGTAGTAAAAGCTTTCGGTGTTACTACTGCGATGAAGAGGGTCATTTCAAAAGGGATTGTCCAAAGAGGAGGAAGGAAAAGAAGGACGGGAAAACACCCGTGACTGCGGTTGCAGAAAGTTCGAACCAAGAAAGTGAAGAAGACTTGTTTTTGGCAACCACAAAGAGTCTAGGTAAATCGGATTGGATATTAGATTCGGGTTGTTCGTTTCACATGTGTTCAGTTAAGGAAAAGTTTGATACGTATCAAACTTGTGATGGGGGTGCTGTGAAGATGGCAAATGGTGCACGGAGCAAAATTGCAGGGGTCGGAACAGTGCAAGTTGGCATGTTTGATGGCGTGGTGAGAACATTAACTGGAGTGAAACATGTACCAGGTCTAAAAGGAAATTTGATTTCATTGGGGGCTTTAGACTCAGAAGGCTGCCGAATTTTTGCTCAAGGTGGAGTGTTAAAAATTTCTAGGGGAGCAATGGTGGTAGCAAAAGGAGTTTTGTCAAAAGGCTTGTATAAACTTGTTGAAAAAGATTTGACACGGAAGTTGTCAGAAGGAAGAATCACAAGTGCAACAAGCGGAGCATTTGCATGGAAGAAGCGGGTGACGTTTGAAGCTTCTCGGATTGGTGGATACTGTGACCTCACCGAAATGAGCAGGGTGGAGCCGGACCATGGTTTGATTAATTAATCAAGGTGGAGTTTGTTGGGATTGATTAATTAAAAAGAAAAAGAAAAAGAAAAAAAGGAATATGCATGCATACGCATAATGCATGTGAAGTGGACCCATGATGCCATGTATGTGAAGGAGAGCTAATTGTCTCCTTCCCTTGTTTTTGGTGGTGTACGAAAGTAATGGGATGGGGATGCTTTTTTTTTGGCCTTCACCTCTTATAAGAGGAATCTTTTTCTATATATTTGGGTGTGAGTTTTACACACAGGTATAGGAGAAAAAAAAAAGAGGAAGGCTAAAGAGAGAGGTGTTACACAAGATATCACCAACATTGTGTGAGTGAGTGTAGGGAGTAACTGGTTTTAGTTACTCGGAAAAATACATCCGGGTATAGGGTGTGAAAAGTCTGTTTATAAGTGTCTGGTATTTAGCACTTGTAAACAGGGAGAGTTTTTTGTGTATCGTTCTGAAATAGTGAAGATATAATTTTTCTCTCATATATTCTCCTTGTGTTTGTTCTCTCATTTTTTGGTGTTCTCAATATTTTTCGGTATCTTACGCGCTTAAAATCCCAACACAGGTCAACAAGACTTTGATATAATGTCAAAAAATCAACTCAACCAAATATTTAAACTTGTGATTATAAGCTCCGAAAAAGTTTTATATTCTAACAAAGTAGACATAAGAATTAACAACATATACTTCCTCCATGCCGAATTAGTTGTCTAGTTTGACTTAACGTACATAATTTAAGAAAATTTTAAAAAATAAAAAGTAGTAGCGAAAAAGAATTGAGATAATTATTTTGATGGAGAATTTACATATATAGTATTAAAACATATTGAGTTTCCCTATGTGGTACCATATCTTTTAAATTTTCAATATAGTATCATTGTTCAATGTCCATTTGACATTGTTCAAATAAATATCCACCGTAGCAGGAAATGATTCAAGTTAATAACTTAATATCCACCGTCACTATATATTGTTCTTGTCAATGGACATTATTCAAGTTCAATTGAGTGAATGAAAATTTTTAGAGACTAAATTAGAAAAAAAAACATGTTATAATATTTTTTAGTGTAAATTTCACTCTTTTTACATGGAGTATAAGAGAGAATGAAATGATTAATTGAGGAGGGAAGGTGTATCTACAATAAGTCAAGGGAGTCAGTGTAACTGTGAAAACTGGAGATCGAGTGCTTAAGACGGCAGCCGACAGCCGGCACTTGGGTGGGGATATATTTGGATGGCATCACTAAAATAAGTACTACAGTATAACTAGCTCCTAATACTACGTACTTATGTAGTGTTTAGTTGTCTTTTTTGAATTGGAAAGCACTTTGTTTAAGTAAAAGTAAAAAAATTCTACCCTATATTGTGTAGAATCTATGCTAAAAGCCTAAAATAAATGTACATCAAAATATATTCCACCTGTTTTACCATCTTCTGCGCCCACCGAAAGCATCAAATGGAATGACCAAAACTTTAAACTCCGTACAACTCAAAACATCTAGGAATTAGGAGTGTTTAACTAATAATAATGATGGTTTTCGATCCCAAAAGATCAATCAATAATGATGGTGGACCACGGTGGAACTTATGGTTCGGAATCTAAAGATTGAGTGGTACTCGTACTTCTTTTCATTTATTCCTAATCTTTTCTAAGTATTCTCAAAAAACTCTTGTTTCATTTAAGTCATTTTATAAAAATACTTCAATATGAGAGTCTTATGAATCAAAAACTAGAAATCAGCGGCACAAGGAAGTACTCCTAATTCTTTAATATAAAATTTGAGAGTTTGATGTCTAAAAATTTGACATGTGGCAATTAAGGCTAGTCTAATTTAATTACACGTAAGGTTACACGCGTCCACTACTACGATAAAATAGCAGAAGCCTTCCCAGTTGCCGATTCTTCCCCTCTCTATGCGCTATCGCTGACTTCTTCATCGGCCAAAACTTATTCGCCAAAAGTCCGCAAGGAAATCTGTACCCACAATGAAGGAAGGTCAAGATTCGCTAATTGTTCGCGGATTCTTCGCGTCAATACCGAAATCTACAACATCAAGATCCGCATATTCTTCAGCGTTAATTCGAGATTCAGGTTTGTTTCTAAGATTCATATGCAATTCTTATTCAATTCATAACTTCGTGTATTCAGATTCTGGGCTCTCGAATTCCATAACTTTGTTTGAATTGTTGAAAGTTGAGATAATTTTTCTCTCACAATTTCATAAGCTTTATACTTCATAACTCTTGAGCAAACATAAATCGATTCTGCAAATTGGTGAGAAAACACTGGAATTTCTCTAGCTCAAAGAAACGAGAGCAACTCCTTGCCTCAGACTTTCAGCTATCGTCGATCCTAGGGTACGGTGTTTAGATGCTCTGACATTTTTATGGTTTATTCAGTTTTTTTCAATTTTCTTCTCTGACCTTTGATCGTTTATTATATTTAAATATTTGCTGGAGTTCACTTATGGATTAAATTCAAGAATGGTTAATTTGATGATGACAAGTAATGATGACATTTTTCTTTATAAGCATTTTGTTGAAAATGAGGAGTGGTTTCAAATTTCAATTTTGATAAGTAATTTACTGAGTAGAAAAAGATTTTAGAAAGTGATGGTTGGTTTGGTGAAAAACGAAGTTGGCTCGAGTTGGCTCACGGTTGGCTAAGTGATGGGGGCTCAGCGTGGGGTGCGGCTTGACCAGAGTGGCTTTTAGTGGAAGTCACGGGTTGGCTAAGGATGCATGGCCAGGGGGCGTGGCAGTTACAAGGCGGGCAATTGCCATTTGAAATTCAAAAAGATGGTTGGCTTTTGAATGAACCAGGAGCGGTTTGGCATTGGTGTCCTGTCGTGAATGGTTGTGTCTGGCTAGATGGTTGTCCTGTAACCATCACGTTTTTCCTATATATATATGACTGCCCATGGCATGTGTTGGCCAGCAAGACAAGGGCTAAAAACAGATCATATTGGCTATTCCTTTTTATTATACGAGTCTAATACAAGGTTTGTTGCTAACCATAAATTTGTGTTCGTTGTGTTCTTGAAGATATTTTTTCCCTAAGAGAAGTTAAGGCTGACTATTTTTGTGAGACAAAATAGGCCATATAGGTTTGAAAAATAAGAGGGAAAAATCAGCCTCGTAACAGTTCGTATCAGAGCCGAAGTTGTTCTTGATTCTCGAAGATGGAAACCCCAAAGCGTAATGATCCTGAACAGCCGGCTGTATAGGATGAGGACAGGGATAATGCTGCTGACTTCATTCGGCATTTAATTGGTGAAGAATTAGAGGGCGTGAATGAAAGGCTTCATAGCCTTGGCCAGGCATTGGAAGCGTGTCAGGCAGAATACAATTCCCTTAAAACGGAACTGTTGATTTTGAAGCAGGTCGTTTCGTCAACGGTGAGAACAAGTGCTGATGTTGTTCCTTCAAAGATCAAAGTCCTGGAGCCTAAGCACTTCGATGGGGCCAGGAACGCTAAGGAATTGGAGAATTTCTTGTTGGGACATGGAAGAATATTTCAAGGCTGCCAAGTTCCCGGAAGGGAGAAGGTTTCAATCGCCCAAATGTACTTGATGGGGGATGCAAAACTTTGGTGGTGTGGGAGAGTCATCGATGATGCAAACTCTGGCCGGATGGGGATTGAGCCATGGGAGGGACTCAAGAAGGAATTGAAGGCACAATTCTTGCCCCACAACGTGTCATGGATGGCACGTGAGAATTTGAAGAAGTTGAAGCAGACCAGGTCCTTGCGAGAATACGTTAAAGAGTTTTCTTCACTCATGTTGGATATTCAGAATATGAGTGAGGACGACAAACTCTTAAATTTCATGTCCGGATTACATAATTGGGCACAGGCCGAACATAGAAGGTTGGCAGTGAAGAACTTGCCTACTGCCATGGCCGAAGCGGAAATCTTGGTAGACTTCAAGACGATGGCACCCCAAGGAAAGAAAGGGGAGCATCCTAAGAAGGAGGAGAAGGCTAAGTCTGACGGGAAAACCAAGTCCAAGAAAAAGGGCGGTGATGGAAAAGCACCCGCGGAAGGCGGAAAGAAGGAAAAGGCACAAGCCGGATGTTGGACGTGTGGTGGCGATCATTTCCAACGTAACCGTCCCCAGGGTCCGAAGATCAATGCCATGGTCGAAGAGGGGACATGGGTAAGTAATTCTATTCCGGCTCGGTGTAGTCCTTATCAGTTGTGTTCTACCATGCACGAATCTGCCCATAATTTTGTGAATCGTGGATTGATGTATGTGTTGGTTGTGGTCAATGGCGTGGAATTGTTGGCCATGATCGACACGGGTGCTAGTCACAATTTTGTGACTGAACGGTTACTTGGACGTCTTCAACTTAAGTTGGAAGGGAATTCATCTATGATCAAGACCGTAAATGCCGCAGCGAAGGAGGTCACTGGGCGGGCATATGTCAAGATCAAAGTTGGGGAATGGCAAGGAGAATGTAGTCTCACGGTGTTGCCCCTTGATGACTTTGATTTGATCTTGGGGAATGAGTTCCTAATTATGGCAAAGGCAGTCGTATTCCCTTACCTTGGAGGGATGATGATAAATGATTAGCGTTCATCGTCGTTTGTTAAAGGATGTTATGCCGATCAGAAACAAGGACATAAAGGTTCGGTCTCGTGCTCGGCAATGCAACTCAAGAGGGGAGTGCGTTCGGGATACCAAAACTACCTTGATGTTATGATGGAATTAAAGGAAGGTGAAAGATGTCCTAGACAAAGTGGTGGAATTACTTGAGGAATTCAGTGATGTGATGCCACCGAAGTTTCTGAAGAAATTGCCTCTAAAGCAGGCAGTGGATCACCGGATCGAGTTGGAACCAGGTACGAGGCCACCTGCTCGTGCACCTTACAGGATGTCTCCTGCGGAACTGATGGAGTTGGGAATCCAGTTGCAGGAGTTGCTGGACAGTGGGCTAATCCAACCTTCAAAAGCCCCTTATGGTGCGCCGGTGCTATTTCAAAAGAAGCAAGATGGCTCCCTAACGATGTGTGCTCACTATAGGGAACTGAATAAGGTGACGATTAAGAACAAGTATCCTATTCCGAATGCACAGGACTTGTTTGACAAGCTGTCCAAGGCTTGGTTCTTCACAAAGTTGGATTTGAGGTCAAGCTATTGGCAAGTTCGGATTAGTTCTGGGGACGAGGGAAAGACAATGATCGTCACAAGGTATGGTTCGTTTGAGTTTTTGGTCATTCCATTTGGTTTGACAAATGCTCTGGCGACCTTTGGTAACCTTATGAACGATGTTTTGTACGAGTTTTTGGATTGGTTTGTTGTGGTTTATTTAGATTACATTGTGGTTTACTCTGAGTCATTTGAGGACCACCTTGTGCATCTAAAGAAGGTTTTCCAACAACTCCGAAGACACGAGTTGTATGTGGAGAAAGAGAAGTGTGAGTTCTACACTTCGGAGATTTCATTCTTGGGCCATATGATCAGACATGGAGAGATCATGATGGACAAGTGAAGACTTAAAGCCATAGTGGGGTGGCCAAGTCCGAGGGACGTTGGTAAATTACGATCATTTTTGGGACTGGCTAATTACTACCGAAGATTCATTGACGGTTACTCAAGGAGGGCAGATGTGTTGACAAATCTGACTAAGAAAAAGCAACCATGGGTATGGTCAAAGGCATGTGAAAGGGCATTTGAATATTTGAAACAAGCTGTTGCGAGTGAACCTATTTTGAAGTTGCATGATTTTAGTGTTCCCTTTGAAGTACACACCGATGCATCTGATCGGGATTTGGGAGGAGTCCTCGTGCAGGGCAGCCATCCCATTGCCTTTGAAAGTAGGAAGCTTACAGATGCAGAAACCCGTTACAGTGCTCATAAGAAGGAGATGACTGCAGTTGTTCATTATTTGGAAGTGTGGCGGCATTACTTGTTAGGAACCAAGTTCATTGTGGTGACTGACAATGTGGCCAACACATATTTCAAAACGCAGAATAAGTTGTCCCCTAAATACGCTCAATGGATGGAGTTCCTTTATGAGTTTGACTTTGATTGGGTGCATCGTCCGGGCAGGCACAATACTATTGCGGATTCCTTGAGTCGGAAGATTGTTGAAGAATATGTTGCTGCTATGGTTATGGTGCAAAGTAACATGGTGGATTTGATTTGTGATGTAGCCAAGAAAGACCAAAAATACCAAATGTTGGTTGAACAAGTGACCAGCGTGATCGTGCGGAGATACTGGCTGGAAGATGGCTTACTGTTTGGTAAAGGTGGCAGACTTTATGTCCTAGAAGGTGACTTACGGGTGCAGTTGCTGAGGGAGACTCATAACCCGTAATGGGCTGGTCATCCGGGTGTGGCTCGGATGATGGCATTGTTGTCTAGGGACTATGTCTGGCCGAAGATGGAACACGATGTAAGGGCATATGTGCGGACTTGCCCTGTATGTCAACAAGATAAAAAGGAGAAATGGAAGGAGGCAGGTCTCTTACAGCCGCTGCCTATTCCAGAGAGACCGTGACAATTAGTGTCCATGGATTTTATTTCAGGTTTTCCTAAGGTGAATGGCATGTCAACAATCTTGGTGGTTGTTGATCGTTTCTCTAAGTATGGAGTGTTCATAGCGGCTCCGAATAGTTGCCCTACTGAGAAGACGCCATATTTGTTTTACAGGAATGTGGTCAAGTACTTCCTCTTTGTTGGTAAAACATATGTTTTTAAGTGAAATTTGCACTAAATACTACTTCCTCCGTTCCAAAAAGTCGTTCACTTTTCAAAAAACCCGTGTCCCTTAAAGTCCTTCCTATTTCTATTTAAAAACCACTTTTACCCTTTACTTTTTCATACCCTACCTATAACATCATACCTTTTTTCTAATAATATATACATCACATCCTACTTTTACCCATCACATCAAGGCTATTTTTGGAAAATCAACAGAAAATTATCACTCCTTTATTTTTTACCACTTTAGTTCAAATGTCTCTATCTTTATGGGACGAAGGGAGTACTAAAACATATATATGTCATTTGTCAATGTAGTACTTAAACTTTTTTATTCACTAAAGAGTACTTGAATAATGTCTAGTAGCAAGAATAATGTCCAGTGATGGTGGACATTTAGTCTGAACAATGTCGAGTGACGGTGGACATTTACTTGAACAATAACTAATGGACAATGACCAGTGGTACCATATTGGGAAATAAAAACATATGATACTACATTGGGAAAGTCACTATGTTTTAGTACTATTTAGATAATTTTCTTTTTTTAATTTATTTTATTTAAAAGTTGGTATAAAAAGTATAACTTACATATTTAAAAAATACGTCAAAAAATTTGCAAAACAAAAATTGATAAATCTATTTTATTTCATCGAATAAGAAACAGAAAACACGAACAAATACAGAGTAAAAGTTATACTCACTCTGTCCCGCAAAAAAACTTCTCATCATTTTGACTTTTAAAGGATTTAAGGAGAATGTATTTTGGTGTTTATTTTCCAAAAATGTTTTTCGATGTGATGGATAAAGTAAGATGAGATGGGTAGATTAATAGAAAAATAAGTGTGATGTGATAGGTTGGTTAAAATTAATTGGAGTAAAATTGACTAATTTTAAGATAGTAGAGAAAGATTTTTTAAGACGGACGAAAAAAAAAAGAAGTACTCCCTCCGTCCACCATAGATCTTCCCAATAGCCCTTTTTCTTTGTCCACAATATATCTTCTCATTTCATTTTTTAACCATTAAAATACCACAACTACCCTCACTTACTTTATTTATTACACCTCAACCACCTCATTTAATACACTCCACCCATTTTCATTAAGGGTATTATAGTAAACTTTCACCTTTTTTCAACTTTCCTTAAAAATCACCAAAAGTCAAAATGAGAACATATTGGGGGACGGATGGAATAATAAATTTCGAATGATGGACAGGGACATGATGGTGTGACGTAGGAGGAAGTATTGAGGAGGGGGAGAGGGAGTATTTATATATATATATATATATATATATATATATATATATATATATATATATATATATATATATATACTACTCCCTAGTATGCATTTTCCGAGCAAAAACGCAAATCCCACCCATCCAGCTAGCACCTCCTCGAGTGGACTACGTAACGCGGTGGCGGAGTGTGTTCCGACCCATGTACTCGCCGTTCTCCACCCATCGCTTATACCACCCACCATATATTGCGTCGGCCATGGAGGCGGAAGCGGCGGCGGCGGTTCTGGTTTCCCTGCTACTCATCATCACAGCTGCGTGGAAGTTGCTGAAAGCTTTCTGCAGCGTCTTCTCGTTCTACTGGTTAACCCCAAGACGCATCAAGAAGGCCATGGAGAGACAGTCGGTGTTCGGGCCGAAGCCTCGCTTCCTGGTCGGGAACATCCTCGACACCGCCGCCATGGTCGCCGAGTCGACCTCCGGTGACATGGACTCCATCCGCCACGACATCGTCCCCCGCCTTTTGCCCCATTACGTCGCCTGGTCCAAACAATACGGTATATCTATCTCTATTTTCGAAGTTGTAAATTTGATAGCATTAAAACTTATTGACTCATAGTTAAAATTTAAAAAACATAAATGGAAATAGTACTGTTTCACAACACATTTTTACTTATATTGTTTACTCTTCTCATCAAACATTTTTTATATTCAAAGAGATGTTAACATTTTGATTTAAAAAAAATTAGAGGAGAGTCATTTCTGTATTTACTTAAGTAAGACGTGATGTATTTATTTATGTGATAAAAGTGGTTTGGTAATAGAAATAAGAATGATTTGTTGAGACACGTAACAAAAGAAAAGGGAAAGAGTTTTTAAGATAAAGAAGCATTAAATTTTCGTATAAACTTTTTAACAACATATTCATTTTGATACGTAAGTTTGAAATATATGATTTTTATTGTACTCCCTCCGTCCTAAAAAGAATGTTACATTTAATTTTTTTTGCGCATCACAAAAAGCACGGCTACTCACATCTAAAAATTCTAAAATTTACCATATTTACTCTTTATTATAAGATGAAATAGTTTTGAAAGTTTTTTTGGCATTTGAGACGATATAAAAGTGTTTTAAGGGATGCGCAAAAAATGAAACGTAACATTATTTTTGGGACGGAAAGAGTATTACTTAAGCTTGGGTTTTTCGTATGATATGCTTTTTTTTTTGTTTTTTGATGGGGAATCATATAAACAAATATATCAGGAAAGAGATTCATATACTGGAATGGGGTGGAGCCGAGGATGTGTTTGGCAGAAATAGATTTGATAAAAGAGCTTCTAACAAAGTACAACTCGGTAACGGGGAAATCGTGGCTGCAACAGCAGGGATCCAAACACTTCATTGGGCGCGGCCTTTTGATGGCCAACGGCACCCACTGGCACCACCAGCGCCACATTGTCGCCCCCGCCTTTATCGGAGACAAGCTCAAGGTAATTCACCTCCCCCCCGCCTTTTAATTGAATGAAGACATTTTATTTTTTTGTCCATTTTTCTTCAACTTAAAAAATCTCATCAATACCCTTTACTCTTTTAAAAATATTACACCAATGATCCCTCTGTGTTAGATTTGGGAATGCGTTAATCACATTCTCATCGAGTAATTCATCTAAATCATATATCACACGTGAGTTTTATAATATATCCTTCCTAAACATTATTTTATATATTTTTAACCTCTTTAAAAAAAAATCACTCAAAATAAGGAGAAATCGTACTCCGTAACATTTATCTCTAAGATAAAAATAACATGTTTTTATCCTTAAAATAAGATTATATATTGCCTTGTGACGATATGATACTGTATAATTATATTTTACAGTATATTTTTGTTATTATATGTTGATATTACTGGTGTTATGGCACTTTTTTAGGATAAAATATAAATTTCCTTTTTTCGTTGTTTCACCATGTTTTATTCATATTTTAGTCACTTTTTACTAAATAATGATTGAAATCTATAAAGTTTGCTCGAGAATAATCCAAATATACGTATCAGAAAAAGAAGTATAATTTGCTTAATAAAAAAGATAAAGAAAGACAGATCGGACTAAAATGATTCTTATTTGAGCTATTTCGTACTCCGTATTTGAAAAGTGTTTAAAAACGTACTCAAAATCAGATAATTTTTATTTATGCTAAAAAAAATCAACACAAACTCCTCAAACTATTATTGATTTAGATTTTCCAAAATCCTTGATACGTTTATTATAAAAAACATATTTCCTCCCTATCAAAATTATCTTAATATTTAATTTACTATTCATAGGTTCACAATGTCCATTTAATTCGTTGTCCATTTTATAAAATAATAATGTAGTCATTTAACTATATTTTTATACCCCGAGTAGTTTTTATGTAGTTTTAAAAAAACTAAAATATGTGTAAAACATAACAAATACACTAAAATAGAAGTTTTGTGTTTTTTATTCTCAAAATTAGAGCTAAAATGTATACACAATGTCCATCATGACAATACATAATACCACAAAGTTGTAAAACGTCTATATACAATGCATTATTATCACAGTGCAAATTCTTATTTTGAGGATAAAAACATAGGACTCTTATTTTGATATTTTCTCTATATTTTGCCCATATTTAGAATGATTTCTTAATATGTAATTTTTTTTGATTCCACTGTATTTTTTATATAAAATTATTTGAAAATAACTCCAATCAAATATCGTAGTGCGAGAAGATAATTTTTTGACAAAGAGAGTATTATCAAAGATACAACAACAATATATATATATATATATATATATATATATATATATATATATATATATATATACTTGTTGTGCACAAGATTTCAAAGCCTCAAATTTTAAAGAATGGACCCTTAAATTTGTTAAAGGGTAAAAACTGAAAATAAGAAAAACAAAAGAATAATGTCTAGGAGGTGTGTAGCTCCAAATGATCCTCCCTTAGTGGCCCACTCGGATTAAATGTAAGTCCTACCTGAGATGTTGCCACTATTTTACTTACTAGCTAGCAATAATTAACATGGATTACGACTTAATTGAATTTATGGTTCCTAAACGTCGTAAAGACAAGTACTATGAAATACTATTTCCGTCACAGAGTCGTTAAATTTGACTTTTCGAGTCAAATTGGATAAATTTTGAGATTTAATTAAATAAAAAGTATAATTTATCTTAAAATAAAAGTGATTTTAATCTACATGTTTAAAACTTTTAAAAATTTATTTCATTTTATTAACATACAATACATATAGAGTAATTGATAATTAAAATTTATTTAATTTTATTCGGAAAAATCAAACTGAATAAATACTCTAGAACGGAAGGATACCCATAAGTACAATACTAATCACATTCACGTGTTCTAATTTTCAAAGTGCAATTAGTGATTCAAACCTTTTTTTCCATCGAATAAGAATAATGACAACTTCCCCTAGCTATAGGTAGCATTAGCATACCTAGTACTTCTGCTCCCTACTCCCTCACTTCAAAATATGGTACTACCATATCTCAAAACCATTTACACATTTTGACTAAAGTTGAAATTAAGAGAGAGATAATTTTGTGTTGACTTTCCAAAAATACCCTTGATGTGATGGGTAAAAGTAGGATGTGATGTGTAAATTATTAGAAAAAAAGTACGATGTGATAGGTAGGGTTTAAAAAAATAAGGGGTAAACGTGGTTTTTTAATAGAAATGAGTAGGAGATTGTGGGAGGCAATTTTTTTTGAAAGGTGTAAATTTTTTTGGGACGGAGAGAGTATGTTTTATATTTATATTTTTACAAATTCATTTACAAACAAAAATATAACTTACACACTCGAAATTTACTCTCGAGTACATCAAAAGGTCTACTCTCTCTCTCTTTTTAAATGTCTGTTTCCTTTTTTTGTCCCAAAATCTCTTTTCTTCTTTATTAAAAAATTACTTTTAGCTATTCTAGTTCTTATCATATCTATAACATCATGACATTCTATTAATCTACTTATGACATTCTATTTTTTACCCATCATATCAACGATTGTTTGAGAAAGCCAACACAATAATATTTCTCCTTAAATTACATAAGAGTCAAATGAGAACAACTTTCAGGGATGGAATTAGTATAAAATAAGAGACGAGGACTTTCAAGGATATTTTAACTTTATTAAACAATGACTTTCATATTTTACAGATGTTTTAAAGTAGTTATTTTATAAAAGAACGTTTTACAATTATTTTTACAAGACACATGTACTTGGCGGATCTAGGAACTTAGAGAGTAGGAGGCACCAAGCAGTGGTCCGGGGGAAGTGCCTCTAGAAATTTTTATACGAACAATGTGAAAATAATGTAAAAAATAATGAATTTAATTTCAAACAATTATTTAAATAGTGGATTAAAAAGTTAAAAAAATGGATTGCATTATGATTTATTTTAATTATTATATATTTTAGTATTTCACTTTAGATTTTATTTTTTGTGATTTTTTTAAAAATTCACTCTAATATTCTATTCTTTTAATATTTAAATATATAACTTCTCTCATTTTTTCTCACTTAACACTATCTATTGAGGTTTTTAATACTCCCTCCGTCCCGGAAAACGTGAGAGTTCTGGTTTTGGAGAAGGATTTAAGGGGAGTATATTTTGGTATTGAATTTCCAAAAATGTCCTTTGATATGATGGGTAAAAGTATGATTTGATGGATAGATTATTAGTAAAAAGGTATGATGTGATAGATAGAGTATGAAAAAGTAATGGATAAAAGTGGTTTGACGAAATTTCCAAAATTGCTACTCCCTCCGTTTGGAAAAACACTTCCCATTTGATTTGGGGGCAAAAATAAGGAAGTGTTAAATTATAGTTGATTTCCAATTTTGCCCTTGATGTGATGGATAAAAGTAAGATGTGATGGATAGATTATTAGAGAAAAAGTATGATGTGATAGGTAGGGTATGAAAAAGTAAGGGTAAAAGTGGTTTTTTAATAGAAAGGGGAAGTGTTTTGTTGGAAGTAGAAAAAATGAAAGAGGAAGTGTTTTTGAGAAAGGAGGGAGTATAAAAATTCACAAGTTAAATGATGTTTCCAAACTCAACGACAAATGGCACTAGAGAATGAAACAAAAGGATTTTCTTAATAATTACACTTGATACTGCTACGTAATTTAGATGTTTGCAAAAAAGGGAGAATAAAATTCATGAGAGTAATTGCTAGGAGATACACTTTAATTAGTAGCACATGATCGATCTTTGTCAAACCACTTTGCCAACTCACAGCCACGTTCATCTTTGTAATTTGTAAAACTAGCTATAGCCAAAGTGATATTGCCAGTCTTTCAGTCTTCTTTTCTAATCCATTTTTTGTGCGTGTTATAGGTGGAAAATATTATTTTACACCAATTGATTGACACTAAATATATGGATTTACATGTGTATATGCAATTATTGAAGCAGTTAAATGTTTCTCTCTGCTGGTGCTTACTAACTTATTGTTGATAAACAGTTTTTGACTAATAAACTGTTTATAAGTCAAATATTATTTTGTGGAAGTAAAATGACTTAAATAATAGAAAATTCATTTGAGGATATTCATAGACTGCGAGGGATAGTTTTATAAATAATCTGGTCAAAACAGATAAACAAAAAATCTACTTATTTTCCCTAACTTATAAGCACAGAGAAACATATCATCTGGTCACTTGTAATTTTTACTTATAAAAAGTTTTGACCAGTTTATAAACACAGTAAAACACTCACTATGTCTACAAATCAATTTAACACTTTGACTTCACGACTTTTAGATGTAGTATTGTAAAGTAAAAAAAAGAAATAAGTGGTTGAGATTTATGTTGAAGAGAATACGGAGTAATTTATTTTTTTGGACATCCCGTGTTCAACTATAAACCTAAACTTTTGATTAAATAATTCACTAAAAGCAATTTAATTGACTGAGTTTCTTACGTAGTACTCCGTCTTTGAGTCTTTACTCAGTTTTCACTTTTTGTAGGTAAAAATGAAAAGGTTGATAATTAATTAAATAAAAATAATATTAGATATTGATGCGAAAATAATTTTATTACTCCCTCCTTTAGAATTCAAATTGTCTGTTGTTTACGAGGTTTGATTGACCTATTTTCAATTTAATTTATTTAAAAATTGGTATAGAATTTAAAAATAAAATTTATATATTTAAAAAATTCATTAAAAGTTTTACAAAATAAGAGATGGCAAGACTATTATTTTCAGAAATTGGCAGCGAAAATGGATAAAAATACATGATTAAACTTTGACCATGTGAATAGTAAACATACACCTTAAATTGAGATGGAGGGAGTTCATTTATTTTATAAAATATTTTTCAAAGTGTATTTTTTAAAGTTAATATACAATAACAGATACTATAAATAGATACTACATTGTAATGGAGTCAATAACATTCAAAAAAATTAATATACCATTTTTTTTAAATTATAAATGAAAAAATTTGAAATTTTTTTTTATTACAAAAAATTGAGATAGAAAAATATTCAGGAACAGAGGTAACTAGTAGTACTACCTTCGTCCCGCTGTATTTGTCTAGTTTGACTTTTTCGAGTCAAATTGGACAAACCTTAAACTATAGTTATTCTTAATTCGTATTGTATATTAGTACGATTAAATAAAATTATGAACTAGATAAATCTAATAAAAAACATATTTATACGAATATAGATTACAATTTTTGTTTAATTGAAGGTTAAAATTCACCCTGTTTGATTCAAAAAAGTTAAACTGAACAAAATGTAGGGTTATGTGGGGAACATGGTGGAGAGCACAGAGAGAATGATTGAATCCCTTGAAAAAATGGCATTGTTTGGGGAGGCGGAAATCGAAATCGGCAGCTACATGGCTCGTCTCACGGCGGAGATCATTTCCCAAACAGAGTTCGGGAATAATTACGAGAAGGGCAAACAGATCTTTCATCTCTTAACCCTTCTCCAACATCGCTGTGCTCAAGCTAGCCGCTACTTGTGGCTTCCCGCCAGCCGGTAATTTTATTTGTTTTCTTTCCATTCTTTTATCTTGTAAGTACTTTTCCAAATTTTTTAAGGGTACGTTTAGTACACGGAATTGAAGGAATTGCATAAAATTGAATTGGATAAAAACGAAATTTTGAATTCCAATTCATTTTTTTACCCTACTAGTTTCAAATTCACATTTTTTGTATTACTAAACAATAAAATTATAATTAAAATTCTTAATTTCAATTCCATGATTTGAATTTTGTGTAATGAAGCCTTGAAGTGATGAATATGTTGAGTCTAATGAACGGGCCTATTGAAGACGATACTTTGAAGCCCTCGCTAAGTACGTAGGCTGAAAGTATCGTTGAAATATCTATATACAATGTCACATTACCACCCTGTAAATTCCTATTTTAAGGATAAAAACATAAACTTCCTATTTTAGTATTTTCTCTATGTTTTACTATAACAATGGAGAAAAGGCATGCTTTAAATCAAACCTTTATTTCATATTTTAATACTCCCTCCTTTCCCTTAAAAGGTTCATGTTTTGACTTTGGCCAAAAATAAGAAAAGTGTAATTTTGGTTGACTTTCCAATTTTGCCCTTGATGTGATGGGTAAAAGTAAGATGTGATAGTTTGGTTATTAGTAAAAAAGTATGATGTGATAAGGTAGGGTATGAAAAAGTAGGGGTAAACGTGATTTTTTAGTAGAAAGTGGAAGTGTTTTAGGGAATTAGAAAAGATTAAAAGAGGATGAGTTTTAAGGAATGGAAAGAGTAATTTCACTGCCTTGTGCCATGACTATCCTGAATCTAGATAGATCAGCTACTAATGTTGGTGTTTTTTCATTGTTAACAGGTTTTTCCCAAGCAAATATAACAGAGACATAAAACTACTAAAATCAGAGGTAGAGACACTACTGATGGACATGATACAGAGCCGGAAAGAGTCGGTCGAATTCGGTCGTATCAGCTCGTACGGAAACGATCTACTCGGGATGCTCTTAACAGAAATGCAGAAGAAAAAGAAAGGGTTTGAGGGTAGTGATGGGTTCAACCTTAACATGCAGCTGATAATGGATGAGTGCAAGACTTTCTTCTTTGCTGGCCATGAAACCACTGCCTTGCTCCTCACATGGACCATAATGCTCCTAGCCAGCAACCCTACTTGGCAGGACAAAGTCCGGTCCGAGGTTCGACAAGTTTGTAATGCCGACCGCCCTTCTTCCGACCACCTGTCTAAGCTCAACCTGGTATGTGTCTCCTACAATGTTCACACATCGGCTAAATATAAATGAATAAATTTCGAACATTATGAGGTGTTTCTTTGTGCGGGTACTTGTTGACTTATTACCAATAAGCAGTTTTTCACTTATAAGTCAAACTATTCTTTACTTATAAGCCAAATATTCTTCCGTGGAAGTAAAATGACTTAAATGATAAATAAATCATTTGGAAATATTCATAAATGCTGAGAGACAGTTTTGTAAATAATCTCGTCAAAACAGAGAAATGAAAAAATTAACTTAAGACCAACTTATTTTTTCTGGCTTATAAATAGATTATAAGTCAGCATGTCAATCATCAGCTAACTTATAAGTTAAAAACTACTTATATCAGTTTTAACCAGCTTGTAAGCACAAAGAAAAACCAACTATATTCAAAGTTCGTCCAATTTGACTGAAAAACGTCAAACCGAACGAATACACTAAGACGGATGTAGCGGCGATATTATTTAATTTGAAATTATTGAAACATTTTGGTGCATGCATGCAGTTGAACATGGTGATCAATGAATCATTGAGATTGTACCCACCAGCATCAATTCTCCCAAGAATGGCGTTTGAAGACTTGAAGCTTGGAGACAATCTCCACATCCCAAAGGGTCTCTCGATATGGGTGCCAGTGCTGGCAATCCATCACAGCAAAGATATTTGGGGGGAAGACGCGGACGAGTTCAACCCGGAGCGTTTTGCCACCAAGTCCTTCTCCGGCCCAGGGAGGAATTTCCTACCGTTTGCCTCCGGCCCAAGGAACTGCGTGGGCCAATCCTTTGCCCTCATGGAAGCCAAGATCATCTTGGCTATGCTCATTTCAAAGTTCAGATTTGAAATCTCCCCGTCGTATCGCCACGCCCCCGTCATTGTCCTCACTATAAAACCAAAGCATGGGGTTCAAGTAATATTGAAGCCTTTAGAAGATATGCATAAGAAATGATCGAGTCTAAGTTCCGTTCCTAACCGATGCCTTTGTAGGGATCGATCAATCAATTTTGTTGGGCTTTGGAGGCTATGTTTTGTAGAAGAGCTAGCGGAGTATTAGTAAACCCAACTTTTCTTGGGAATAATATTATGAGTGGAAGGAAGAGGTATATTTTGTAAGGCTCTTCCTTCTTGATTACTTTCTTAACGGCTAGAGCGGGGTGTTTCTCCAATATATTCATATAATTAAGGTCTTTCCATTAGCTTGTTTAATTCCACAAATTTCTTTCCATATTGACCCAATTCGATATGCCGGGTACAACTCCACTGAAAACACTACTTCATATAAGTCAATACATTGTACATTTTCACTTAACGATCATTATTTTTCAAATTGTTAATAAAATAAACAAAAAAGCACTGGTTGTTCTAAAAATAAAAAGACTCTACCCAATTGCCTATCTTACAAATGGACACTTGAAATTTGAAAAAGTTTAGGTTTTTTACATGGTAGAACACGTAAAATGTGCAATATTCAAAAGTTCAAATTATTTTAAATTTTAAGATTTTAACCTATCTCTTGATTTCTATATATAAATTTCTATATTCATTCATTCCAAAAAAGGATTTTCAAAATACATGTTGAACAATTGGAGGAAGAAAGATAAGAAAAAGGATAAAAGGTATGTTAGATGCTACACGTAGAGTTCACTATGAACAGTCAGGGAGGACATTAGAGTTAGAACATGTCATTCTGATGATGAGGACTTTGATGATATATATTGAATGTGAAAATTTGGCCCCATTGAAATGCAAAATACCTGAGGAGGGAATGAGGGATATGTTCCTATAATGGTTCCCAGAAAGATTCACAAAAAGACTTTTCAGACCCCTACAACTTCTATTATTACAAGGAGCAAGAAGGGTCACAAAGACTTCAAATATGTTTGTGTTTAATGAAGGCCTTGTTTTGGAATGCCTGTGGAGTGGAAATCATCACTCAAAAGGATCATGATTCTAAATAAGGATTATTCTTTTAGTTTTGTGGCAATTTTTGAACCCTATTGTTTTTTCAACTCAACTCAAGAGTTCTTTAGTGGAGTGGCACCTCCAAAGGCCTATGGGAGTACTTTTATATCTCTTATTCCTAATAAGGATAACCCCAATAAATTTGAAAAATATAGGCCCGTATCCCTCTCAACCTTCATGAGCAAGATCAATAACAAGATATTGCCCAATAGACTTCAAGAAATTCTACCTATAATTATTTCTCCAAAGTAGACTGGTTTCTAAAAGCATAAAGGGTAGAAGAACAAATTATATTAACAAAAGAAATGGTCCATAAGATTGATAGTAAGGAAAGAGAGGAGGGAACTTGATTTTAAAGCTAGACATGGCAAAAGTTTTTTTCAATTTGGAATGGCCTTACATGGAGGAAATGTTATCTGCTAAAGGATTCTCAGAAAAGGCTCAGCATCTGCTAATGGCTAATCTTAAGGCTACTTACCTCTCTATCCTTATTAATGGTTCTCCATGTGGATTCTTCAAAAAGCTTAGAGGTGTCAAGCAAGGTTACCCACTATCACCTCTGCCTTATCTCTCAAAGAACATGGCTGCATCTCTCAAAGAACATGGCTGCAACCAATCTGATCAATTTCAATGCTGGAAGAGATTTTATGAATAGCCACGTAGCTTTTGCAAATGATGTTATCATAATCACTAATGGAGATTTGAGAAACACCATCAAACATAATTTATTTATGTTCTTCAATTCAAAACCATCACATCCATCTCGACTATCTTGCCTCCGTCTGCTTCTAGGATCACATCACATCATTCTTTCTATTGCCTACGTGTAGCAAATAAAACACACTACACGCTCAGCGTTGAAGCTGAGTAAGGATATCTAATGCGTCGAACATCCATATAAATTGAATCTCAATTCATAATCAAATCATTTGATATCATGCACATAATGTTCAATTCAAATATTCACCATTCATGATTTTAATATTGTTCAAGTCATATCAACACATGTTATTCAATTCCAATATTCAATATTCCTTATTTCGATAGTGCTCTCAAATTTATTCTCAATCTAAAGCCAATGATAACTAACAATGCTCTTAACTATTCTTAGTCTAAGGCCAGATCATAAAAATGCATTTAAACTATTCTTAGTTTAAGGCCAGATCATAAGAATGCTCTTACCTATTATTGAGGTCAAAATATGTTTTAATTAGCGAACATATTTTAACAAGTATTTTTTCAATCTAAAAATATAAACGAGACATAAAATCAAAATTATATATAGTATAATATTAGTATCATTAGGTAGATCTTGTAAAAAGATTTCTAATGACATTGATTTTCAAATAATAATTTATGTATACAAGATGTGAACAAAATGAACATTATAGTAGAAAAATTTAATAAGTTGATTTTATAATACTTCCTCCGTCCCAATTTTTATTACAATATTATTTTCTTCCTTCTCGATAACTTTTGTTTATTTGTGTGTTTTCATTGACTATTTGATAAAATAAAATTTTCAGGTCACCTCTTGTTTTGTAAAACTTTTGACGTTGTTTTTTAATGCTCCGTATGTAATTTTTATTTCTTATTGATGTACCAATTTGTAAATAAAATGATTTCAAAAACCGTGAGATTTTACCTCGTAATTCCCATTTTATAATCAAAATGGGGACGGAGAAAGTATAAAATAAGTAATACTTCCTCCGTTCCTAAATGGTTTACACATTTTAGTGTTAAAACATCACGAGAATTTTTATTTATTTGTACGATTTCATTTACTATTTGATGAAACAAAGTATTCTTGTCACCTGTTATTTTGTAGAACTTTTTAAATATTTAAATTTTAGTTTTTTTATTTATATATCAATCTTTAAATAAAATATATTGATTTAAAATTTTACTTTGTTTTGTGTAATAGATTTTAGTTCTACCGGGAGTATCAAATTTCGTATGGAGTATATACGAATTCCCTCCATCATGCATGCTCTGACGGATTTGATTGATAATTGAAAGTAAAAAAAAGTTTCCCATGTTACTATATACGAATTTCCCTATGAGGAATATAAGCTTCCATTTCAAGAATTTAAAGGGGTGTATTGAATTGGGATTTGGTAGGATTTTTTTAGATTTTTAAAATTTAAGGGTTCGTTTGGTATACAGAATTGATGGAATTAGAATTGAATTGGAATTGAAATTCCATAGGATTCAATTCCATAGAATTGAATTCACCAATTGTAATTTATTTTTTATATTATCAATTCCAAATCTACATAACTTTTATGCTACCAAACACCAGAATTAGAATTGAAGTTTAAATTCCAATTCCATAGTTTGAATTCCGTGTACCAAACAGAGCCTAATTATATTCAATTTGGATTTTCAAAAGTTTTTAAAAATCTTAAGGTATTCAATAAGGATTTTTCAAAGTTTTTAAAAATATTAAAGTATTCAACTTGGATTTTTAAGAATTTTTAAAGATTTTAAGTATTTAAAAGTCTATGAATTTTAGAGGGTGTTTGGGAGTGATTAACTTTTGGATAAAGTGATTTTCACAAAAGCTGAAAGCAAAAATACCTCATATCTGCTTCTCTGAAACGGTGTTCTATGTAAACATTAGTGGTGGTGAAAAACAGAAGCTGACATGCCAAACAGAGTAAAATTACTTCCACTCAAATTTAATGGAAACCACCATAAAATTTTAATATTCTATGGAAACTCTATGGAAACCACCCCCAATTTTAATACTCTATGGAAACTCTATCAATACACCCCCTAAATTTATGCTTTGTCCCTGTGAGGGAAACCACCCCCAACTCTTTTGAGTAATGCTAGACTTAGAAACAAATTCACAAACTTGTTTTTTAACATATTTTAAAAATAAAATGCATTCAAATAATAAAAGATATTTTAATTTAAAATCTATAAAAAGTAAGTTTGTGAAGTTTTTAGTTGTGACTAGTATTTCCCAATTTTTTTTTTCCTCTAAAGGGCAGAGAGTCAGCATGTCAGATACATAACCTACCAAATCTCTTCTACTTGAAGGCTCAAACGACCGGAAAAAGAGAAAATGGGAAACCCAAGGACGCAATCTAACGAGGAGCTACACGCGGCGGCTCGTGCCGGCGACCTAACCGCCGTGCAGAGAATATGCAGCTCCAATCCGCTGGCAGTCAACTCCAGAGACAAGCACTCTCGGACCCCGTATTTTTTTTGCTTCTCTATCTCTTTTCTATTCATTTTTTTTATATCGAAATCATGATTCTTGAATCTCTATGAGCTATCCTATCTAGGTAAACGCCATAAATTTGAAATTTCCTTGGATATGCACACTGTTTTGGACTAATCAGTTAATTACTCGTTCAATTAAATGTAGTATGTGTTTCTACATGCCAGCATTTTTATTTGCATACATTTATTTACTCACGCGGTTGAGAATTGCAGAACTTGGGAACTTTATAACAAATTGTGAGTACTGCTGTCCTGAAAATCGCATTTATTAGCCTTTTCTTGCCAATTAGTGACGAGGCCCCATTGCGGAGGTGTGAGAGGTTGTCGGTGGTGGGTGAGAGTAGGGGAAGAGGTAGACCTTAGAAGAATTGGAAGGAGGTGATTAGACATGTCCTAAGACATTTGGCTCTTACCGAGGATATGACTTTAGATAGGAACATTTGGAGAGCTAGGATTAGGGTAGTTGGGTAGACATTTTGGAGTTGTGGTAGTTTTCCCATTTGTTGTTGTGTGCCTTCTTGTTGTGCTTCTCTGTTGTTATTTTTAGTTGTTCTTTGTTTTTTTGTGCTATACTTTCTCTGCTTTATGTGCTTTCTGTGTGCTTGTGCTATTTGTGTTACTGAGTCGGGGGTCTATTGGAATTTCGAAACAACCTCTCTATTCTTGAGTAGGGGTAAGGTTTGTGTACACATACCCATACCCTTCTCAGACCACATCAGGGGATTCTACTGGGTTGTTGTTGGTGTTGCTTGCCTCCGAGTAGATGAGTAAGGGAGGAGAACGGGTGGTTGTGCGTTTAGTAGTACCTTACATTGTTTTTCATTCATCATTTGATATAGTATAGTAATGAGTTTTTAGTCTTTCTACATACAATTAGATTCTTGCAGCAGAGGCTGTAAAGTCGTTTCTCTTTCGTATTCAATGAACATGAACAAGTTGTCACCTGTATATAGTTATATATATGGCCATCATGCTGAATGTTAACCTCTATAACCACTACCTTTTGTCTCACCTCAAGAGTTTTGATTTTCTGATTGTGGTTCTTCTCTGTAATTGATAGTAGTGCATCACATGCAACTAAAAGATGTACTCATTGAAGTACTACAGAAACTTGAGTAAGAATGTATTGAGGTCATTAGACTCAAATGATCTCAGAGAAAATCGATGTCCATTTTAGTCTAGTATGCTTATCTCTACATGGGATTGGGCAGTGTAAACTAATCTAGAATTGAAAGATGAGATTATGGGCTTGGAGTTATTGGAGTCTAATTGGAAAAATATTAAAGGTTGTCAAAACTATTGTTAGGGTAATGGTTGATGTACTACTATCTATACCTGCAATACAAAAAAATGAGTTGGTGTGGAAGCATGAAAGCTAAAAAAAACAGATTCAAAATCTTGTATTCAGGTAAATATAAGTCCAGAATGTGCAGTAGGCCTAGTTTTAAGCAAGGATCTAGAGGATGATGTTATAGATGTCACTAGGTGTGATGATCTGATAAAGTCTCATAAAACCTTTTTGGGGTAGATGATTTGAATATGTTAAGCTTATACATCAACATTTGTATTGGTAAGAATGAGACCTGCCTCATAGTATTTCCGCAAAAACAACAATGAGGCTCAACCTATTTGATGTAACATTGAGGCTTGCACAACATGAAATTTGATTTAATTTTGAAGAGTAAAGTGGTGAGGTTCATGGAGAATGATTGCATTATTGCCAAATGCCAAAATATTACTCCCTCAGTCCCTGCGTCCTAAAACTTTCTTCACACGGTAGTGCGGTAACACAAAGAATAATAGTTAATTTCTTTTTGATTACCATATGAATGCATGAATGGCCATCTTCAAGTGTTAAGTCCATGCTATTTGCACTAGTCATGGACTGAACTAGTAGACAAGTTCAATATGATGCATCTTGCTGCATGTTATTTGCTATTGCAAATGAATCTGGAAATTTGTAAACACTACTCCCTCCGTCCGGAAATGATGTTCCCATTCTACTCTTTTTTCCGTCCGAGAATGATGTTCCCATTCTACGTTTTATCCTATACTCTTCCAAAAATACCCTTATTTCAAAAAATCACATTCTCCTCCATTTTCCTTTCTTCTCTCGCTTGTTTCTCAATTATCCTCCATCTCTTCCTTCTATTTCTTCTTCTTCACCTCAATCTCCTGTTCGTCCACTTCTTCCTCCTCTCCTCTTTCTCCCCTCCATCTTTTTTCTTCTCTCCTCCTTATTTCTTCTCCATCTTTCTTCTAGATCTGGGCATGGCGGCAGCGTGGGTGGTGGCTATGGTGGTGTTGATGACGACGGTGTTCTAGATCTGCAATTCTTCTTCTTTCTCTTCTTGTTCTTCTTTTCTTTTTCCTCGTTTTTTGTTTTAGATCTGTGCTACGGTGGCGGCGATGGTGGGACTCGTGCCGATGGTGGGGCTGGCGCCAATGTTAGGGTTTCCGGCGAGGTGGGTGACGACGGTGATGAGGCTGGCGTCAATTGTTAGTGTAGATCTGCACTTTTCTTCTTCTTTAATTCCTTTCTTTTTCCAACTTTTTTCTCCTCTTTCTTTTAGATCCCTGTGTCATGGTTGGGTTGTGGCAGAGATGGTGGGATTCCTACTGGTGGAGGGGGGTGGCGCAAAGTCGGAGAAAGGGGCGGTTGGGGACGGAGGGGCTGGGTGATGGCAGTGGTAAGGGAGGAAGGGCATTTTAGACCAATTACACCCATAGTCAACTTTTGATAAAAATGAGCAAAAGTCAAAATGAGAACATCATTCCCGGACGGAGGGAGTAAAATTTAAGGGGTCTATTAAATAAGCAGTTTTACAACATAAAATATTGAAGGTATATTAGAAAACATATGCAGAGAGTAAGATTAGACTCGGTAAGGATATAAGAATACTGTGATTTTTTCTATTTAGGTTCTATTATTAGACACTAGATTTGTACCTGGTAAGTGGTTTGTTCCAAAATGTGAAGAATAAGAACCTGGTAGAATAAATGTCGAAATAGAAATTTAAATATCGAATTAAATAGTGGGTTGTTCCAAAATGTGAAGAATAAGAACTTGGTGGAATAAATGTCTAAATGGAAATATAAATATATAATTAAATAGTGGTTTGTTCCAAAATGTGAAGAATAAGAACTTGGTAGAAGAAATGTCTAAATATAAATTAAATATAGAATTAAATATAAATTCCGCGTGAAATATAGTTATTGCAGTTAACAGAAAGTACATAAAAGTACTTTACAAGAAACATATTCTGATGGTATACGCTTTCGAAAAACTATAATCACTCTTAATTGTTCAAGAAAACTACTTTAGAAAAGATATACACTTCCATCATAGCAATGCGAAATATAAAAGCAGTTGCAGTTTCTTCAAAGAGTAATCATCTAGCAGATCTCTAGAAGATAAATTCTTACAGCCGCACCAGATATCATCTCACTCTTATCAAATTACATTCCTACAAATTTACCAAAATAATTTCATGAATCAGCTGCAACATCAAGCTGTATGCAATTAGTGCATGAAACACAACAGAACAAATACTAGTGTAAAGAAGGATGTAACCTTGAGTTGTTGCTCAGTGTTCCTCATAATTTTGGCATTTCTAAATTATTCAAGAACATGATTTGACTGCAAATCAATTTGAAGATTCCATTAAGGCACCTTTCTCTACTAAATAAAAACACTTCAATGGAGCAAACTTCTAAATAGATAGCCGCATATATCGTGTCCTTAAATAAGACAACAAATATAGACTCTCATCTTAAATAGTAACAAAACTATTTTAGATGTCAACAGTTCAACTCTAAAGAAACCCCTTCAATTGCCCTAGTTGCTATGAAAGACTTCATTATGAATAGAGTAATAGTTGGACATAAAAAATTTCAAATTCCACTAGATCTTCAGGAAAAAGTAAAGTTAATCTGTTAATGTTTTTACCCAAAAAAGAAGATTTCAAGTTAAATAAATTTTATATGGCATTATATTTTTTCTCAAACTTGGTAGAGACAAATTTTTGTTCAAATTTTATGGAGACTGAGATGCCGATGAAGGAAAGGAGAAGTGATAATGATCAAGGAAAGGAGAGGTGAGCCCGGATCTGAACTGAATCTAGGTCTTCCATCAGTACTTTTCTTTCACAGTTCACACTAAATCTTATCCATTTCACAACCATTTTTTATTGTACTGTACACTTACTGCTCACTGATGAGTTTTGAGTGGGAGCACTGTTCACAAATTCTTTTTGTATATATATAGGTTACGGGAACTTAATGCAGACATTGAGCATAGAATTAAGGCATGATGGATGAAGTTGAGGAACGTGTTAAGGGCTATTGTTCGATGAGAAATTATATGTATAACCAAAGATAAAAGATTATTTCTTTATGCTAGTTATAAGACCTACCATGCCATGTGGCATGGAGTGCTTGGTGGTGAAATATCAGCATCTTATTCACATGTCATGGTGGAGATGAGAATATTGAGATGTATGGGAGAAAATTAGCAAGCCTACATAGGAGTGATTCCCTGGGTGCTATGCTTTGGTTTAGTTACATTTATAGTGAGGATGTATGTGAGAATTTTAGCAAGGCCTACATAAGAGAGGTTTCCTGTATGCAAGGCCTTGGTTTAGTTTGATTTAGTGAGGTGTTTCATTTTTGTGTGTCTTTTAATTATCCTTCACTTGTTAAAGCTTTATTAATCTGGGATGTGTATGCTCTCTTTTTCTCTTGTGCCTTTTTGTGTTTGAGACGCGGATCTTTGCGGAACAATGTCTCTACCTTTTCTAGGTAGGTTTAAGGTCTGCATACACTCATCGCCCCTAGACCCCATTTATGGGATTTTGCTGGATTGGTTGATTGCTGTTGGTGATAATAGAAAGTGTAACCCCAACTCAAACAAGATGAGAGACTGAGAGAGAAACAGAGAACTATTGTGATGGTTTGACGATATTTGGAGTTGTTTAGTAGACGAAGCATTTTTCAGAAAAGTGTTAGATGACTAAAGTGGTAACTTCTTTCTAGTACCTAGTCAGACTTAGGTGTAGTCTAGGCGATCTAGGAGGTGCTAAAATATAACAAATATTGGACGGTGGTCAAACAAGGCATTTTGTCTGCTTGCGGCACTAGCCCTGTTGGAGCTAAGCCGAATTTTCTAGAACACTAGCTAGGTGGCGATGAAGACCTGATTCCGCTTAGTTAAATACAATTGGATGAGACAACATACCATGTTGCTTACATGTTTGATGCTTTCTAGTATTACGGTTTGTACCTCACCAACATAAAAAAAGTTGTAAATAGGAGAAATTAGGCTCGTTTTATGGAACTATGTGGTTAGAGTATTAGACCAAAAAACCTTGTTTACAAAGTGATTTTGGGGCCAGCTAGAGACACTACTAATTATACATGTCCCAAAACACAAGTCCGGTTTAATTTTAGCGTGACTTTTAATTAAACACATAAACTGCATTGCACCTACTAATTTTCCTCTCAAGTTGAGTGAAGTGTTTCAAATCATTTCAAAAGAGAAAGGGTGTATTGGGAAAATAAAACTTATTGTGGAGTTAATATTTTCGAAGTAGAGGTTATCCTGTGACGGACTAAAAGGGGAAGGATAAATAAAATGGAACAAGATACTGTTCGGCAAGGTCCTTTGTCTACTATGTGCATGTTTTCACATTGATCATACCCATTTGAAATGGCTTCCTGTATTTGGAAAGGCTGTACATAGCTACACTGGATTTTTTTAAATGGGATATCTCTGCTAATCTTATTTCCATCATCTCTGATGGAGCCAAAATTTCACCATTTTTTGGCTTTGGGGTGTGATGGAATAAATCAAAATGGATCTCTAAACTGTCTGCGCTTCTTTAATTAATGAAGTAGCAGTTAGTCAAGCAATGCAACTTTCGACGTTGAGCCGGGGGTCTCTTTGGAAACAGCCTCTCTACATTCGAGTAGGGGCAAGGTCTGCGTACACACACCCTCCCCAGACCCTACTCTTGTGGGATTTAACTGGGTTGTTGTTGTTGTTGTTGTATATCTCTGCTAATCTTGTAATTTATTTTCCTCCAAAAGTTCATCTGTGTCTACATACACATTCTCTTCTTCTGCATTAGTTTGATTCATAATATTAGTGTGATTATCCCCCAACTAATGAACCATTAACTGAACTCCAGGCTCCATCTAGCAGCATGGTCTGGACATGCACAAATTGTAAGCTATCTTTGCAAGAACAAGGCCGATGCGCGTGCTGCAGCAATGGATGACATGGGAGCGATTCACTTTGCGGCTCAAAAAGGCCATCTAGAGGCTGTACGCGTTCTCCTTACATCCGGAGTATCTGTAAATTCAACCAATCGCAAGGGTATGAGTGCCCTTCACTATGCCTCTCAAGGATCTAATCTGGAGCTTGTCAAGTACTTGGTGAAGAAATGCGCAAGCGTTAGTGTGAAAAACAAAGCAGGCAAGACCCCCTTGGATCTCGCGCGCAACGAAGACATCCGGTCGTTCTTGCGTGATTGCGAAACCACATCCGTTGGTGCGGCTCTTGGCAGTGGAGAAGACGGTGATGAAACCAAATCAAAGCCCTCCTCAGCAGTGGAAAATGAAGAAGGCCCGGAAGTCAGTGCCGATGAAGAAGGAGAACATTTCAAGAGAAAAGCTGAGGGTGAGGAAAATTCGAAGAAGGAAACAAAGAAACCAAAAGTTGCTCTGTATCATCTTCTAACTTCAGATGATGTGGAGGAAGAGGTAGAAAATCTTTGAGGGAACTATGTCGAAATTGAAAACGCTTACTATAGCTACTACTAGCTGTATTACTCGTTTAATAGGAGCTATCCCTTCTTCTAAATTAATTAACAACAATCCAATTGCTCTATTCGTCCGGTTTTAAGTTACATGATTATTATTCACGTGATCAATTTAAAATGAGATCTCAAGGTTAAATTTTCAATAGAAGTCTCCATGGCCCAATTTAATTGATTACATCTGCAAGATTTGTGAGAGAATTGAGAAAGACTCTTTGGAGAAACATATTGTTCAAAGACTCCTTAGTGTTGCTATTATTTGTTCTCAAAAGTCTTGCATTCATCTTTCATATTTTAAAAAATTATAAAAATATTCCCTCCAGCCCAATTGAAGTTGCCTGTTTATTAATCACGGAGTCAAACTTTAATCAAGTTTTTTACCTATTTTTGCTACCTATTTGTGAAAATGATATAACTTTGTCACTTCTTATTTTGTAAAACTTTTCATATAGTTTTTAAATATATAAATTTTATTGTTTAATTCCTTGCCAATTTTAAATAAATTAAATTAAAAATATTTTCAACAAAATCTCGTAAACAACAAACGATTCTTTTTGGGACGGAGGGAGTAATTAACTTAAACAAATTCTGTATTTTTTTTTTCAATCAATCAACTTTCATGCTCTTTACTCTTTACTTGAATCTACTTTTCCCCAAAAATATTCTTTTATTTTATTTACCCAAATGTCTATAGTTCACAACTTAGATATCTTGCTGCATGAAATCAACAGAGAAGCTAGCTGACATTCAGGCTGAGGAAGTAGTAGTAGTGTGGTGGCTTGTGGTTTGATCAATATCAGGAAGGTCCAAATTGGTTGAGAACTTCAACCATTTCTTCTTCTCAACATGCTTTAGACATGGTTGCAATGCCAGCCCAATGGAAGCTGCAACAATGCTTACACCTGCAACTTTAAGCGAAGAAAACGCCAACACGGCGCAGAGGAGCACGGTCGGGGGAATGCAGATTGCGATTGCTCCGACTGTACCCACCGGTATCTTGTACGGGCGAGCCGCGTCGGGCTGCTTGATCCGCAGCCTGACGAAAGCCGCAAACTCTAAGAGCATTCCAAAGCAGTAGAGAAAGTTCTCTGCTGCTATAATCTCTTGGAAGCTGAGCCACGAGAGTATGACCACGCCCGACGCCGAGAAGAGGATCCCGACCGGCGGGGTCCCGTGTCGGGACTTCCGCGCGAAGACCTCCGGAAGCATCCCCCGCTCCGCCATCCCGAGAAGTTGGAACGAGTCCCCGCTCATCTCGGCCACGAACATCCCGAGATTCGACACCGCTGCGGCCCCCTCGACCCACCACCTTAGCCACTTCCCGCCGAGAATCATCGCGATTTCCGAGTAGTACCCATCGCTCCACTTGTCGCGGTGAAGCGGGACCGCCCCCGTGGCGGTCAGCATCGGGAAGAGGTACGCGGCGACGACCAAAAGCAACGCGTAAAACAATGCCCTCGGGAGGATCTTCTTCGGGTTCTCTACTTCCCCGGCGAGCGTGCTGATCGAGTCCCAGTAGTTGAGGTTCCAGAAGAGCGTGTTGAGATACAAGTTCCAATCCACATTGTGGAAATCAGCACCCACCAACCACCTCCTCGGCTCGATCTTCGGGATCGAGATGAGCCCCATGACAAGAAAGGGGAGGAGCGAAAAGATTCCGAGCAAAACCGCGACGAACCCCACGGTTGTTAAACCCCTATAGTTGGCATAAGTGAGGATGAGAGTCAAACCCAAAACTGCCCCTACTCTTGGGAAGCCACCACCCAAAGCAGGGATCTCAGATTTGAGATAATCAAGAAACAAGACAGGGTAAAGAGCATTGTCAATGACTCCACTTAGCCACTTCATCCACCCTTGCTGAAACCCCCAGAATTGGCCAAATGCAGATGAAACCCAAACCACATAGCCACCGTTTTCCGGGAACATGGTCCCCATTTCGGAGGTTATCAACGCCTCGGGCACGCTCCAAACAATCGGGAACAGTAACAGCCCGAGGAGTGAGAGAAGGGGGCCCGCTGCACCCACGCTATCCTCGGTGCCGAACGGGCCCCCGGATACTTCATAGAAGATGATGAAAACCAGAGGCAAGATTGAGATTTTCCTAGCACTGTTTGTCCTGGAAGAAGCCTCAATCTGGATACTCCTTGCACCCTCTACACCATTGTTATTATTGGTTTCTCTCTTAGCTCCCATCAATGTCTGCATTAAAATCATCCAAACAATTCAAATTTGGCATTTTGTACAGCCAAACATATTTTCTTCTTTTTTCCAAATGTACCCCGGAGTAATTAAAAAAACTGGAATTAGTATGATGAGCCGCAAAACAACAAGAGTGTGTTTTCTTGTCTAACAGTTTAGTTTCTCACTCAAGTCCAAAAGTTGTTAGGTAGTTCCATTTTTAGGTTGTCTAAATGTTCATAAAATGCTAAAATGAAACTACTCCGGTATTAAGACCCTCCTTCCGGCTTGTTTTCAGGGGTGGCCTTGAGAATTTGGAGGTCTGCTCAAATATAAATATTTGGTCTTAAAATGGAATTAAGATAATCGAAGATGTAAAAAATCATCCCGGGTTCCCATGACATTAGGAACCAATGTCATGGGATGACCCAAGGTGCTTCGGTGCCCCGTTCGTAAAATTGACGGTTCCTACCCTCTTACCCCCACCGGTAAACCCCCACCCCGCCCCGACCAGAACACACCCCCACCCAAGTCAAAATTAACTTGGGGGGAGCAATTGAACGGGGTGCGGGGGTGTGTTTGGGTCGGGGCGGGGTGAGGGTTTACCGGAGGGTTAGCAGGGTAGGAACCGTCAATTTTACGAACGTGGCATCGGAGCACCCTCACGTCATCCCAAGACATTGGTTCTCAATGTCATGGGAACCGGCCTCAAAAATCATTTCCTATTTTAAAATATAATATGGAGTAATATATTTTAAGTATTTTTTTTGTTACTACAATTTTTTGAGAGCTATTGAGTCTATTACAAGGTAGTATCTAATCATATTAGTCATAACCTAATCACGCACAAAGAGTCTCCACTAGAAATGTATCTACGACGGATGTATTCCGTCGCAAACAACACTTTAGGAACGCAGAAATGTTTGTCGGAGATTCCTTCGCAATTTGCGACGGACTACACATTCCGTCGCAAATATGACATCTCGTATTTCCGTCGCCGAAGCCGTCGCAAAACTACGACGATACCACTTTTCCGTCGCAAAGTTCGAAAATGCGTCAATTATTTTGCGACGGAAAATTTCCGTCGCAAGGCCGTCGCAATTTGTTATTCTGCGACCAAAATGGAGTGTTTGCGACAGAAATTGTCCGTCGCAGATTTAGCAAAATTTTGTAGTGTGAATATTGAATTATGGATTTTACTTGAGAGAATAATTAGAGTATACATGGGTGCATATATAGGTAGAGATTATGACATATTTAGGACTCAACCTATTATAGAAGCTAACTATAATACGAAGACTACCATAACTAATACTAGCATAAATAATACAATTACTATTATTGTCTAAACTTAAACGCAAAATATTCATCCACTTTTATTTTTTTGATTCAAATTTGATGAATTTTAATCACCAATTATACTCAATCTGCATTGCATATTAGTATAACAAAATAAATTTCTGATTATTTATTTTCCCGTAAGTTAAATCTAATTAAACCATTCTTTATACTCACATCCAATACAAGATTATTTAATTACTCCCTCCGTCCGAAAATGATCTTCTCATTTGACTTTTCATGGTCAAAGTTTGTAAATTTTGACTACGATGTGTGGAAAAAATACATTTTATTATGATATAAATTTAATATCAATATATTTATATTGAAACGTATTTTTGAAATATCAAATTATTAATGGTCAAAGTAAAATATATCTATGTATAAATATAGATATTAATGGTCAAAATGCAATATTGGAAACCGTAAAAAGTCAAATAGGAAGAATATTTCCAGATGGAAGTAGTATTGATCAAAATTTATCAACATTGAATTAAAAAGTCAAACATGAGGAACACCATAGATGTAGACAGTGATGCCAAAATTGGTGTTCCCATAACATGGTTCTAATATTATTATGGTCCTCAATAATTCAAGTGGACAATACCTAAACCTTATTGATACTCTATTTTTAATACTCGATGTCAATGATATAAATCTATTTCTTTTTCGAAAAATATATTTTATCATGGGGTCTACTTTGGCTCGATTTGAACAATTATACGAGAATTAATGAAGTTTTAATCTTGGAGAAAATGCAACAGAGAGTGAGATCTATTTCAAGACGCACGCGTAAGGCAAATTCTTACGTGACTCATTCTCAATTTATGAATCTTACTATATTGATCTCATAAAAGAATTGATTCTTTGACAAAAAAAAGTCCATTTTTCAGCCCATTAAAAATTTCAGAAGATCCACATTTCACATGTAGATTTAATTGATCACAGAAAAACAACTCTTCGCACTTATAAATGCTTCCTACGGAGTATCTCAAATTGTCTTCTCTAAGAGTCGAGCCTGACCACAATGCATTGACCAGTTGTGCCCACCGTAGTTCCTTGTGCGCACCAGACACGAGATGACATATCTAAATACCATACTAATATTATATCATAGGTTAAATCTCTCACAATATTATCGGGCTAGAGTGAGGGGCGCCCGCGATGATATGTTAGTTTCACCTTTTTTAAACTACTTCCACGGCATCGGCCGGAGAGTAATTTCAAATGAGAAGAATATTTTCGGACGTAGTTTCTTTGTCCTAAATTAGTTATGCATTTGTCTCATGTTTAGGGAGCATTGAGAAACGTGAAGTCCGAGATGAAATTAGAGATTTTGGGAATTAAAGCGGGTACGTACCTCACCATTGGTCTCCTTTGAGCCATAAGAATTAATCTTTGTGTCGTCGCCTCTGGGATCACCCGAACCACTTGGGAGAAGCTCAGACTCTTTCCGCCCATTGGGAAGTCCCAATTCAATATGATGGGTCTCACCCGCCGGGGGAATCATATGCTATTACAGTATTAATTATTTGACTCCAATAGAATTTATTTATTTATTTATCCCTCGCTAATAATTAACTTTCAGAACCAGTGTAAAGAAACGCAGATGAAGAAGCATAGCTGTAGAGAATGAACGCTAGGCAATAAGGACAGAGGGGGTCGGCGGATGCAATTTCAAAGTATGGGGTACGATGGCCCCCACTCCTTTTATGTTTGATAGAGTCCATCGAGAATTCAAGATTGTACCATAATATTATATAATCTCCGGCCCTCTATATTTGTCCACTTTCATTTTTGCACACCATTCAATGCACTTTTTTAATCCATTTTATCCTGTAATTTGTATATTAAAAAATTATAAAAATTATATATTAATAATCTATATGTTAAGACAAATCAAACAAGATCACACATGACTATTTTTAGACTTACACATTGAGAGAATTTGATGAGTCAAAGTGCTTAAATGAATAGTTCAAAAAGTCAAATGTGGACAAATACAGGGGGACGGAGGGTCTAAATTTAAAACATATCACCTCAAATACGCACAACAATGAATTTTTTTTATTCAAAATTAGAGTTTTATTACATATTTATTTGGGTGCTCATTTAATTGAATGACTTTTTAACACTTTAATTCTTCTAACATTTTCCAACTCCTTCTAGCTTTTTCTAACTCTTTCTAGTTTCTTCCAACTTCTTCCAGTTTCTTCCAACATCCAATTCTGAATTTTCAACTCAAAAGAATAGGGCCTCCATCTCCTAAAAAAATATTGTACCCTATAATGGGTCTTAAATTTTCATATTTAATCCTTTACTATTAAATACTTCTTCCAGCCTTTGAAACATTTCAACTTTCACTTCTTACTCGTCACATAAAATATTTCAATTTTACTTAAATAGGCATAATTACCCTTATTTTCATTAAATCTAATCGAGTTTACCTCAACTACCTTCTACCCCCTACTCATTTTGACATTTCCCATTCCCAAACTAACATGTTTCAATTGTCGTCGTTTCACCTTGGTCAAACTTCTATATCTTCCCTTCCAAAAAGTCAAAATTGAAAAAGCTTTACAGACGGAGGGAGTATAATGTTTGTGGTCTTTCTTTAATGAGTATTTTTCATGTCTTGATTATATTCCAACGGGAGGATATATATATCTGTAGATTATGATTGTAGTAGACAAGACAACAACTCCAGTTGACAAACGACGTATCAACAACGGCTTCTTGCGTTGAATATAACAATAAAGATATACTCCATCTGTCCCAAATTAATACTCACAGTTTGACTTTGCACGAAATTTAAGAAAAGTAAAATTGTGTGGTTGAAAGTAATGCAGAGGTGAGAGAAAAAAGTGAGCTACAAAAGGCTTTCTAAAAAAGAAAAGATGGAGATTAATTTGGGACAACCCAAAATGGAAATTTGGTACATATTTATGACCATTGTGAAATTGTGTGTTTAGTCTTCAAATTAACAACATGATAGAAGATTAAAAAAGAATTATCCGTGAAAAGTTACATATAAAAGAAAAAGAATACTAGCCTTTTTAACATTTTACTATGAACAAGATGCACTCATATAATAAAAAAATATTTAAATTTAAACTTTACAAAAAAAATTGTGAAGTTTGTGATCTATTTGTTAATGAATCTAGCATTTTTGGATAGAATTTACTAGTGAGTACTCTTTTGTTGACAAATACTCTTCATTCCATAATTGAAGGCTGTTTGACTTTTTTACGGTGAAATTGGATCGCACATTGACTATTGAAAATATTTGCTACTCACGGTGTCTCAAAACTTTTTATTCGTCTGTATTGACATAATTTTTAATAAATTGTAATTAGTGTGGTTTTAGTTTGCATAAAGAAAGACAAATAATAAGGTCCATCCAACATTTTTCTTAAAAGGAAAGAGAAAATAAAATATGAGAAAATATGAAAGAAATACAGAGTATTTAACTATAAGGTCATGTGTTATGACGAGCTTCACATGAGATTTGACATAACTTGACGGAGTGTAAGTTGTATCATGTATGACGTAATGAAAAAATATGTGTTATAGTGAATGTTAAGAAATGTGATTAAGTGTGAATATGTCTTAAATTTTAATTGGTTGAAACAAAAAAAGAAGAGGGGAAAATATAATGCGCATGAGAGCAGTCACCGGAAATGGGGCAACGCCCAAGTCGCCCATACACATATGGGCTATAAGAGAGGCGTGATAGAGGGTGGTGAAACCCCTCCTCACGCCCCATAATACATGGTCTAATGTGTATTTAATATAACTACTTTATTTTAAAATAAATTATTCTCTCCGTCTATGAAAATTCTTTTACTCTCTTTTTTCATTCGTCCCCAAAAATCTTTCTTACCTTTCAAAGAATATCTTTTATACCCCTCCATTATAAACCCTACCCAAACCAACCATGTCCACCCATTCCCTTATCTTCTTCTCCCTAGCGATCTTTAGATCTAAGCTATAGGTCAAGTTTGGCTTCTTCACTCTTCTTGAACCACCCACCCAAAATAACCTTTGACGCCACCAACCAATTCCCGTCGATGCTACAGAACCACTGTATGAAATCAAATAGATTCTCACCCACTATCATCGCCATCCTCTGATCTTGATCTTCTTTTCATCGGTGACTCAAGCGAAGACAGCACTCCGAGGTCCTCGACAGAGACTCCGATCTTCACCCGGAGCAGCGTCGCATTAATCGTGAGATGGAGTTTTGTAACACTCTAATCCATATAATCTGGAATTAATGGAGTTAAATAAAGCTTTGCTGGACATTTAAAAATGACAAACACTTAATCAATATCAAATTACAGACTAAAAACTTTCCGGAGTAAAGCAAAAGTACAATAATTATCAAAGGAGATCAAACATTGCTTGCAATCCCCATACATCCTCTGATTCAATGCCATCCGGGAGAGTAGTTCTGTCATTACCTTCACTTCTTGTTACCTAGATGTAGTCAATGAAAATACAAACTACACGTTTAGTGAAACCGCTGAGTGGTACCACGCTAGAATTGCAGAATAACTCACACACACAGATATATACACGTCCACATAAACATGCAAGAATATTCATGATATAGTACAGTATAGCATATGATCAAAATGTTGGTTCCTCATGAATATTACATGATAAAACATATAATCAAAATGATTGTCCATGATGATGATTACATGATGAATGAATATTTTTTTTATTATATACAAAATTATATGTATATATATTTTTGAGTAAATTCCCAAAATAGTCTCATTAATTAGGTTTTTTTCCCAAATCAGTCCTCAATAAGTTTTAATTACCTATGTGGTCCTCTATAATTGAGATTTATTCCCAAAATGGTCCTTCGTTAATAATGTTACCCAAATAAGGATTAGTTGAGGGTATTTGGATATTTTTTATCCACTAAATTTAGAATTAATTTTTAAAATGATCATTTATAATGAAGTGCTTTCCCAAAATGGTTTTTCTAATTAAATATGTGTATTTTATTTGAAATTTAAAAGATTTTTTCTAAGTTTTAAATAATTCATGAATTATTTATAGTCAATGTATTTTTTAAATTTTACATTTAGTTGTACAGAAATGACTATTTCAGAATATACTTTAAATTTGGATGATCAAAATACCAAAATATTTCTCAATTAATCATCATTTGAGTAACATTATTTACAAAGGACTATATTGGAAATAGATCTCAATTATAAAGGACCATGTAGGTAATTAAAACTTATTGAGGACTGAATTGGGAAAACACATTATTATAAAGAACCATTTTAGAAATTTACACCGGAGATGCACAATTGGGCACTGCTAGTGCACCATTGGCCAGTGTCAACGGAATCCCACTCTTATTTGGAGTAACAATTGTGCAACATGAATATTATTATGTGAGATGGAATTGGATAGAAGCAATGAAAAAATAAATTTTAATATGTATGTTTTATACACATTAGATTTTTTGTTATCACTTATTTTTAAATTTAAAAAAAACTACTCCTGTTCTAAAAAAAGATTCCCTAGTTTGACCAAGTATAAAACAGGATAAATTATAGTTGACTTCTAATTTTGCTCTTGATATGATGAGTAAAGTAAGATTTGATGGATAAGTTATAAGAGAAAAAAATGATGCGATAGGTAGGGTATGAAAAAGTAAGAGTAAAAGTAGTTTTTTAAGAAAAAGTGGAAGTATTTTGTTGGAAGTGAAAAAAAATGAAAGAAAAAGTATTTTTGAAAACAAAGGAAGTATATAAGTACTATGCTTTTTTAAGTACTATATAACTAATATGCTTTATGTTGATGTGATAAACATGTTTATATAAAATTAATTTTAGAGTACTAATATACATGCATAAAAATTATATTTCAAATACATTAAATTTCTAGTTCTAGTCTGGTCTAGTCTTTCTAAAAAGATTACCTCGTTTGACACCTATCTTTTCACAAAAAATAAGGATCAAATAAGACAACCACCAGATCGATCTCAAAGACAACTTCAAATATTCAAACCCATCTTTTTTCTTCTTCAAATCTTCAAATTTATGGATCAATACTATTTTTTCAGCTTATTACTTTTTCTTATTAAAATCAGATCAGATCAGATCAGACCATGTCAGATCTGATTTGATTAGACTAGATTAGATCAATTCTGATCAGTTCTAAACAAAATTATTATTATTTTAATTACTATTATTATTATTATGATTATAATTATTATTACTATTGTTATTAATATCATTACTATTATTGTTCGTATTATTATTATGATTATTACTATTTCTATTTTTATTATTATCATTATTATTTATATTTCTATTATTATTATTGTTACTATTATTATTACTCTTATTATTATTGTTATTACTATTATTATTAATAATATAACTGTTATATTATTAATATTATTAATACTATTACTATTATTATTAATGTAACTATAATGATTATTATTACTATTAATACTACCTCCGTTCCAGAAAATATGAGAGTTTTGGTTTTGAAGAGGGATTTAAGGGGAGTGTATTTTGGTATTGATTTCCAAAAATGTCCTTCGATGTGATGAGTAAAAGTATGATTTGATAGATAGATTATTAGTAAAAAAAGGCATGATGTGATATGTAGGGTATGAAAAGGTAATGGGTAAAAATGCCTTTTTAATAGAAATAAGAAGTGTTTTTTGGGACAGATGAAAAAAAAGGAGAAATGTTTTTAGGGACGGAGGTAGTATTATAGTTATAATTACTATTATTATTAGTATTACTATTATTATTACTGTAACTATTATTATGATTATTATTATTACTATTATTATTAATAATATAAATATTATGATTATATTAATAATATTATTATTATAATTATTACTATTATTACTTTGATTAATATAATTATTATTGTTCTTATTATTGCTATTATTACCATTACCATAATTATTATTAAAACAATTTTAATTTTAATTTTAATGAGATCGATTTCAATCAAATCATATAACAACTCCAAAAAAATCAGACCAACGGAAACTCAGCCTTTATCCTCTTTCTGCCCATTGGGAAATCCCAATTCAATGGAGGATTGGAACCGCTGGCTCTCATCCGCCGCGGCCATCAAATATTCTTATTGTTTCAGAACGAGTGTAAAGAAACGCAGATAATGAAGAAGCATAGCTGTAGACATAATGTTAGCCCCCCCTCCTTTTATATGTTCGATTTAGAGGGCAATTTCTTTGGTAGAGGTCAAACCTTTACAGTACAGAGTATTGTCGTTTTGGATATCCGAGAATCCGACTTCAAAGAGTTTATCTTTTTTCACTTCCTGCTTTGAATTTTACAGCTTTGAATAGTCAGCCATGGTTTTCCTTCAAACCCCAGTTGCCGACATATATCTTCGGATATACTATTCTAGTTTTAATGGATAGATAAGATTGTTTGTTTTTTCCTTGATGAGGAAAAATCCCACATTTTTGAGGGTGGATTGTTTATGTATGTGATTGTATAAATATATATACACACAGAGTAACACATCAGTTGGGTAAAAATAACCCAGATTTACTTTTGATGTTCCAATATGGGTCACAAGATTGTAGTTGCTTTGCTCTTATTTGTGGCCATTATTTGTGTTTATCATTGCTCTGCTGATGGATCCCAAGAGGACGATAGGATTATTGAGCTTCCCGGGCAGCCGAGGGGCGTAGACTTTGCCCAGTATTCGGGCTATGTTACCGTGAGCCAAGAAGCCGGGAGGGCACTGTTCTATTGGCTGACTGAGACCCCAGCTGAGCTTGATCCGAGATTGAAGCCGTTGCTTTTGTGGCTTACCGGTGGACCCGGATGCTCGTCCGTTGCATTTGGAGCGGCTGCACTTCTGGGCCCTTTCAAAATTAAGCCCGACGGGAAGACACTTTACTTGAATCCATATGCTTGGAATAAATGTGAGTAGTGGGTGGAGACGGATCGATCCTAAAGGATTTTCTGATATGATTTGTATGTTATGTTAGGTTATGTAAACGGTTTGGGTTTTGTTGTTGCAGTGGCCAATTTGTTGATTCTTGAATCCCCAGCTGGAGTAGGCTATTCGTATTCGAATACAACTTCTGATTTGTATACCGGAGGAGACCAAAAAACTGGTAACATTTCAATTTGTGTTTTTTTCCCCTGAAGAACACTCTGTTAAACCAATAAAACAACCCCATATAAAACACAACCCTGTGGTCCAATTACTCTGGGTGCTTAAATAGGTAGAGAAAGTAAGTATGAAGTGATACGTACTACATTTGTAAGAGTTATTAGTGCTCGAAAAAAATATTCCGTAAAACACAAACCAACCCATATTCCTTTGTAGGATGGAATTTTAGGTCTCAATTAACCTAAAAAGATGGCTATGTTTTAGAAAGGAATTGTTGCTCTTGGGCATTCATATGTGGGGTTTTTTTTGTAGCTGAAGACTCGTATCAATTTCTTGTTAGTTGGTTGGAGAAGTTCCCTCAATACAAGCACCGGGATTTCTATATTGTTGGAGAAAGTTATGCAGGTCAGTATCATTTTTCCTTTGCCCACAAGTTGAACACATAAGTCTGTGATTAATACTAACTACTACTATACGGCCCCTTCTTTTCAGGTCACTATGTTCCTCAGCTGTCTCAAATCATTTATCAAAAAAACAAAGGGGTTGAGAATCCAGTCATTAATTTCAAAGGCTTCATGGTATTGATATATTTATATTGTGGTTTCTGTTATCCATATCAGTACCTGTAGTGAATCAATGCTGTTTTTAAATGACTTAGGTTGGAAATCCTGTTACTGATGATTATTATGACTTAATCGGCACTTTCGACTCGTGGTGGACTCACGGTTTGGTCTCTGATTCAACCTATCAAACTCTACAAGTTGCTTGTCGTAATGTCTCCATTTTGCGCCTGCCACCGGATTGCAATAACGCAATTAACCTAGCAAATGAAGAGCAAGGAAACATTGATATACATAGCATTTTCACACCAGTTTGCAATGCTACTGTTACTACTCCAACCACTTCAAAGGGCTATTTTAACGTAAGGTCCCTTGAGTTTTATATTTGATATCACCTCATCTTCCCTTAAACTCCCTAGGTCCCAAAACACAAGTCACGTAGATGGTTGCTTTGAAAACACTACAGGCATGGAGGTCTAGATCATATGATCCTTGTACATGGATTTATTCAACAAAGTACTTCAATACTCCACAAGTTCAGAAGGCCCTTCATGCTAATGTAACAGGAATACCCTATACATGGGAAACTTGCAGGTTATACTCTATACCTCTCATTTATTTTTACTACCATTTGAATTAGTTTATGTGTTATAACCACCACATATACAACACTATAGACTGATCTAATTAATTCTTATACGAATTTATTTAGGCCTGATTTGATCAGAATTCTAGTTAAAATTAAAGTTGTTTCTGATCTGTTTCTAAATTCCAATAAGTAAAGTAATAATAATAAATTGAAGAGAACATGCCCTTAGCCCTATCTCTTACTCGGATGCTTTTGAATGCAGTGCTACCGTAGCAAACAATTGGAGTGATGCTCCAATTAGCATGCTTCCTATATATAAGGAACTCATTGCAGCTGGTTTTAGAATTTGGCTATTCAGGTAGCTAGGACTCTTACTTACCATAAAAACTTTTCATTTCATCCTCTTGTTGTTACGAAGGTCAAGTTCCTATTGTCCAAATAGGTAGTATTATATTGTTATTGATCTCAGATAAATACTCTATCTGTCGTCAAACTATCTTCCCAATTACTATGGTCAAACTTTATTTACCCATTTTTATTTGTGAATTGATAAAATAATATAGTCATGTCACCTTTGGTTTGTTGAATTTTACATGTAGTTTTTTAAATATATAAATCTTATTTTTAAACGTTACATTTACCATCAAATAAATTGAATTAAAAATTTAACTTCGGTCAAACCTCGTAAACTGAAATGAAAACTTATTTTTAGGACGGAGGGGGTATAATGTTTGTTCAATTATTACGTTTACGGCGTTAATAAAAAACTATTTGTACAGCGGGGACACGGATGCAGAGATTCCTGTGGCTGCAACCAGAAAGTCGATTAATGCAATGAACTTGACGACTCTAGCCAACTGGTATGCTTGGTATGATGACCTTGGAGAGGTTAGTTTCCCTCCTCGCNGGCATTAGACAGACATAATAACTCAACCAAAAGCTCAAGCTTGTGGGTTTATCAGATCACCTGTAGATATATGCCGTATCTAAAATAACAAAGAAGGGTTTTACAATATAAATTCTAACATATAATGTTGGCACATATTTATGATGGATGGGATCATGTAGGTTGGGGGGTGGAGCCAAGTGTACAAAGGATTGACGTTTGTGACGGTAAGAGGAGCGGGACATGAAGCTGCGGTTCTTTGGCCGAGGCAAGTCTTGACACTCTTAAGGTCTTTTTTAGAGAACAAACCCATGCCAAGGCGAGGCGGCCAGAGCCCGGCCACAAGATAGCCAAATTCAGTTCCCCCCTTATGTTCAGAATATTCGATCAATATATAACAAACAGCATGCAAACGAATTGGAGAATTGAAGATGGTTGTTGTAAGTAAATAAAAATAAGATGGTTGTGTTATATATACACACATTCTCAGCCTCACCTCTCTGAAAATGTACTACTACCGTACTACGTACTCTAAGAGCGAATAATCCTCCAAAAATAAATTACTGTAGTAAATTAATGCATGTAATGTAAGTTTAGAGAGTAATGTCTTTTTTCATCATTTGGAAATTAGTTACTACTCAGAATAATCCTTCGTAATATGAATAATTCATATATTTCTTAACACTCTCACTTGAATGTTCATTTTCAATTGATGTGGGTACTTTGTGAAATGACGTAGTTTTGAAATCCATTTTAATTTTATGTATTGCTTAATTATAAACCTTGTAGGAAAAATCCAGTGGATTAAAAATTTGATCATGGGAAAAATAGTATAGTGCATAAAATTCTCCGCCTCAGCTTAGCATAATTGATAGAGGCGCTGCATACCTATCTTGTGTACAAGTTCTTCAATTTTTTTGGGGGCAACACTTTTGTAAATAAATCAGAAAGGTTCTCACAGGACTTGATTTGCTTGATGTTAGCATTTCCATCTTTCTCGAGATCATGCATTGAGAACTTTAGTGATATATGTTTTGTTTGGTCTCCTTTGAGATCAGCATGCAGTGTTGTCTTCCTATATACTAGATGGATGGCTAGTGCTTGTTTCTATACCACACTCGCTCTGGATATGTTGGATCATTGATCGCAACCACACACATTCTCTACATGTTTCGTATAGAGCTATCAACCTTGCGTAATTTGATGATGTGGCAATCAAAGTTTGCTTCATGGATCTTCATGATATTGTCGTATCTCCACAAGTAAACACATATACTGTTTGAGATTTTGCCTTTTGTGGATCAAACAAATATCCTGCATCAGTGTATCCAACAAGAGTGGCGTTGGCACCTTTGTGGTAGAATAGACCAAGGTGGATGGTACCATTGAGATATCGAAAAATGTGTTTAATGTCATTCCAATACCTCTTATTCGGGGTTGAACTGTGTCTGGCTAATAAGTTCATTGAGAATGCAATATCTGGTCAAGTGTGATTTTCCAAATACATCAAAGCTCCAATGGCACTCACGTATAGTATTTCTGGATCAAGTATTTCTTAATCATCTTCACGAGGTCGGAACGGATCATTATGCACATTGAGATAGTGGACAACCATTGGAGATGTGAGAGGATGTAATTTATCAATGTAAAACCGCTTCAGAACCTTCTTCATGATTTGACTGGTGGATGAATATTCCATCCTTCAAATGGTCAATTTGAAGACCCAGACAAAATTTTGTTTTTCCAAGATCTTTCATATCAAATTCTTTCATGAGATATTTTGTAGTGTTTTCTATTTCGTGAGAAGTTCCAATGATGTTTAAATCATAAACATATACTGCAATTATGGCAAAGCCTGATTTAGATATACGAATGCAAAGACATGGACTAATTGGATTTTTTGTATCCTTCTCTGAGTAGATATTCACTAAGACGATTATACCACATTCTCCTAGATTGTTTAAGTCCATATAGTGACTTTTCCAATTTTATAGAAAACATCTCTTGAGGTTTTGAACTATAAACCTCAGAAAATTTTTGGCCTCCAGGAACTTTCATATATATGTCACTATCGAGCGATTTGTACAAATATGTTGTCACTAAATCTATTAAACGCATTTGAAGCTTTATAAATACAAGCATGCCTATCAAAAGTCTCAATGTAGTCGCATCAACTAATGAGGAATAAATTTCTTCATTATCTATCTCCGGGATTTGGGAAAAATCTTGGGCAACGAGTCGGGCTTTATATATCACAATTTCATTTTTTTCTCATTGTGCTTACGCAAAAAACCCATTTGAAACCAACTGGTGTTACACTCTTTGGCGTAGGAACTATAAGCCCAAAAACAGATTAATTTTCAAGTGATTTCGATTCTGCCTAGATTGCTTCATTCCATTTCGGCCAATAATGTCTACGTCGATATTCATCAATTGATGTTGACTCAATGCCATCATTTTCATCCATGATGTTTGTGGTGATGGCATATGAGAGTATATCATCTACATAAATGTCTTTTCTGTTCCATTGCAATCTCGTAAAAACATAGCTTACCGAGATCTCATAATTATCAACATTTCTATTTTCATTTGAAGTATTCGCGTCTTCAGATATTGTTAAATCCTCATTTGATACAATTTATTTGTTGATATTATTTTTTTATAGCAACGTGCACATTTTGTTCATTTTTTTCCTGAAGAATGAACGTCTTTAGCTTCTAACATTGCCTCTTGTCTTTTAAAATATCTTGATTTTACATCTTTTGAAGCAAAAGGCTTTCCACGCTTTTTATGTACCTGAAGACTCATTTTTAGGAGTTCCTTCATTATTCTGTGATGGATTTCAATTCTGGCGGGAGCATTCATAGCAGAAATATGTAACTTTGACACTTTCTTTGAATCCGTGAATGCATCAAGCAATTGATTTGTAACATTTTGTAAATGAATTGTCTTTTGCACTTACTGTCCGCATGTATTATAATCCCATTACGTTCCACGTAATCTCTCTCGTACATGGGCCCTTTTTCTCATATTTTTCCCCGAAGGCTGGAAATACTGTCTCATCGAAATGACAGCCAGCAAACCGAGCTGTGTCTAAATCACCTTTCATGGTTCAAGATATTTTATAATTGAGGGAGAATGAAAGCTAACATAAATTCTTAGCCTTCTTTGAGGACATATTTTTGTACAATGTGGTGTAGCAATTGGTACATATACGGCACATACAAATATTTTTACGTGAGAAATATTGGTTACTCTCCAATTACCAATTATAATGGAGAAAAATATGATTTGTAGTAGGCCTTAACCAAATAAAATTTGCAGCATGCAATACAACATGTCCCCAAATAGATGAGGTAAACTGGATTTCATCAATAATATGCTGTCAATTAATTCTAATCGCTTGATTAAAGATTTAGCAAGCCCATTTTGAGTGTACACATTGTTAGATATGTCATTGTGTAACCTCTTGTTAAATGTTGGCAGTATTTTTGACAACACACAAACACTAGGGTAGTTCAGTGTCATGGTAGATGTTGTAGCATTGGTCATCCTTCTTGTATGCACTACAAACCTGTAGTAACAAGGACTCTACAAGTCGAGGCCTTCACAAGCGGTAGTTGCTTTCAAGAGATGGATTGGCGAAGACTATCCTGTCCTACAAGACTTTGTGTATTTCGAAGAAACCCACTGTACCATCATGTTTTACGGATCTTGGATTGTTTTGCACATGGGAGAGTTATATTCGCAGAAGGTCAGGGTTGCGCACATATATAAACACATACCAAAGCCTTGAGACGGGCGTGAGAAAGACAAACACTGGTTCACGCACAATTCATCATCTTAGCGTGTGAGATACATATCATGATATCAGTCATATGATTCTACTACACCTGCATACGATTCATGATTATGTATCAGCAAGAACTTCCAGGAGTTGAGTGCTGAGTTGACCTAGATACAAGGCTACCTAACACGTCCTTGGAAGATACCTAGAGAGGGTGTAACAAGCCAAGGGGACGAGTGCAAACAGAGTTGGTCACTCGAGGTCGATAGTAAGCTTATTCAGTCAAAACTTTATCATACATATTGTGGTTGATCTGTATAAACTTTTACTATGATCTAGTGGAGGGCTGTTACATGGACATGGCCCTCGCAGACGTAGGAGAATTCGCTCCGAACTGCGTGAACAAATCTGTGTCGTTTATTGCTTTATTCTGTGTGTGTGTTTGCTTTTGTGTTTTAACTCGTTCTCTGTCATTGATTGAGTCGTGTGCATCTGTCTGTGAGATCTGTGATAAGAAACTTACAGGTGATATAGCCCTTAGAAATTTCACACATGAGCAACTATATTCTCCGCATCAATCCATATAGACATGCAATAGTCATTAAACTATTAGGATGGAAATTCTCTTATATTATCAACTCACGTTTTCTCTATTGAATAATCTAGAAATTGAGCTCTCAAACGTATGAATTTGAGTAAAGAGTTTTACAAATGTAAAATTTCTTTTAGATAAAAGACTGACATGTGACCAATGTGTTGGTGCGTCGATCAACACCATAAAATAACAAAATGGTCCACATGGTAGAGCTATTGGCCCACAAATATCTCCTTCAATTCTTTCTAAAAATGTAAGAGATTCAACTCCAATTTTATTTTGAGATAGCCAAATCAAATGATCTTGGAATCCTTATATTTTTTTAATAAATTTCTAAGTGAATTTTGAATTATTTTGTGCATCATTACACTTCCAAGATGACCCAAATGATCATAGCACAAAATGAATGTTTTCTGATTATCTAATTTTCTATTAGAGACAATATTCACTTCAATGAGACTAATGTGAGTATAATATAGCCCCGACGAATATGCCGACATCTTTTCACAAAGAATTTTATTGTCAGGTTTGGTTGTCGTTAGACACAAGTATTCCTTTTGATTTTCTGTCACGGTTTCAATATGATAACCATTTTGACGCATATTATTAAAGCTCAATAAATTCCTTCGAGGTTTGTCCCTTGTGAAAACATTAAACAAGTAATTTCAGACCCTTCAATGAGCTTTGTAACACCAGGGATTGTATTGACATTAGTTTCTTCTAGTGTCACTTGAGAAAAATATTCTTTATTTCTCAATATGGTGTGTTGTGGTACTGTGTATTAGACATTGTTCTTTGCTATTAGACATAAGAAGTTAACTCCATATCTTGAATGCAAGTAAATATAAAGAAATCAGCCTACATAGCACTCTAACTCACCCTAAATTACGCATTTAGCACTACTCATTGTTTTTAACAAACTTAGCAATTTATGGTGTCAATCCTTTCCTATCATACCCTTTATCCCTTTTTTTGTTTTTTTCATTAAAAATTACGGCATTCAACTCCAATCTCTCCTTCCGTTCTCCGCACGCTGTTGAACTCCACGGTCTCTCCTTTCGTTCGCCGGCGATGATGCGTCCTCAGTCCTTCGCCCACGATTCCTTGGCCGATCAGCAGCGGTAATCATCGGGTTCTCTCTCATTCTAATCTTTGATGTCGCTAATCATTTTCTCTTCCCCTTCAATTTTTAATTTTCATTCCTTCATCCTTTTATTCGGATTTCCCTGTATTTTTTGTATTAATTATTGTGTTTTCTTCGTATTGAAGATTAGGTGTAT